ATATAATGATAAAGATGCTTTATTATAGTGTAAAATAAATTACATTCTGTTTAATTCCTTGGGTGATCTCAAGTGAATAGCATCAGATTATGATATTCACATGAGATCAGCCTAGCAATTGTTATCAGTTCCAATTTTAATGCATCATTAACGATAAAATCATGTACTCAGAGCAGTGCTTCATTTTCCGTTCTGTGCCTGGCTGGATGCTTCATTTCTACTGGTTTCTTAGGTTTATGTCACAGTGTGCATTTGTCAAAATTCAATCTAGTTGGTGTTAAAACAATACTGATGTGTCCCTATGACAATGAGAATCGGACCTAGTCTTTGCCACTTCTTCTACTCTCTACACTGACCCTGAATGCTTCCACGTGGACCTTCACTATCCCCCAAAAAATGAGGGACAAAATATGCACCTTTTGTTATGTGCAAAACCTCACTTCAGAGTTTGTCTGAGGCTCAAATGCAGCTTCAAGTGACCCACTAATCTAATTTAAGTCTGTGTCTTGAAGAATTTCTAGGCTACAGTGGAGGAATATGTTGCGTGTAACTTTATGTGCTGCCTTTTGTAGAGCCCAGCTGGCCCAACTGCTTCAGTCAGAACTGACACTTCTTTTCAACTGTACTACCCTCTGATCAGACTCCACCACTGTACTTACCTGGACCCAATCAGAAACCTGCCACTAGATCTTTGTGGCCAACAGAATAACAGACATCCTGGTATGTACTAAGCCTACAGATCAGAAGTATGCTCCATCGTCCTTGAATCTGGCAGACAGTATTACTAGTGGGAAAAGGCTGATAGAACTAGTAGCCCTGCTTTTCCTGGCCACTGGGCCCCCCTTCCGGCATTTACCTCCAGGTCAGTGGCCTACACAGCCCACTAATGCCCCTAAGGAAGCCACACTTCAACAAGTCAACCTTATTATGTTCCTGTTGATATTAAGGGTTTCAAATCGTGAAATGACCTGGTTGAAGCAACTCAACCTTCCTTAATACCCTTTCTCCTACCACTATTTCCCCTGAATGTAATCATGTTGAAACCATCCTCCTTCAGCAGGCACAGTACGCTAGCTTCCCTGATGAGTACAAACTGCTTCAGGCAAATAAACCTGGCCACAACAATGGCAGCCACCTTTGTGCACCTGAATATGATCCAGGAACCAGACTGATATGAGTGTGAGGATGGTTCAGAGGAGGACATAGCCTTCAAGGTTCAAAGTGTTTATTGTCATATGCACAGTAAGGAAACGTGTTTCCCTGTACAATGAAATTCTTACTTTGCCATCCACACTTGAGCCTTGAACCTAGAACTTGCCATCATGCATCCAATAGTACTATTTCCAAAACGCCCTATCACTCAACTTCTCACTGGAGATTATAATGAGAAGCTCCTCCACTTGGGCCCAGAAAGGGTGTTTGGTGGCATCTGTCATAAGTACTAGATCCTAAGAGGACAGGATGCAATATGTAAGCACCAACATACCTGTCTGGACTATAGGAAACTAAAAGGGAAACCAGTTATCCCCCAAGTGGCCAATCTTCCTCCCTCTCAACTTTGTCTGTTCAAATTCTCTTTCTTTTCTATTGGTATGGACTGTTTTGGACTTTTCAAGGTGAAGGTTGGCTGTCATCATGAAAAACGGTGGGAAATTCTGTAAGTGTCAAACAATTTACTGTCTCCTTCTTGAAACCTTGTACAGCCAGGATTCTTGACAGCTTTCTTATGGCATTCCACCACTTCACAAGCTGCCTAGGCTGTCCCTCTGAATTGATTTCAGACAAAGGCACAAACTTGGCAAATACCATATATGTTTCATTCATAACCCACCTTATACACCCCATTTTGTTGGAACTTGGAAGAGAAAGGTACAAGCCATCAAAACTGCTCTGTTTGCATCTCTTGGAGGTCAAATGAGGTGTTGAGGACAGTTCTTACAGAAGTGGAGAAAGTGCTGAATGCAAGGCCTCTTGGTTATGTATCTGCTGATGTTGCAGACCCTGACCCAAACACTTCCAACCTCCATCTCATGGGGCAGCTGGATGCATCTCTTCCATAAGCCATATTCAGAGATATAGAGGTCCTTTCTAACTGCAGATGGTGCCATAGTCAAGCTCTGGCAGACTGCTTCTGGACCCAGTATGTAAAGAACTATCTTCCTACTCTTTAGCCCTGGCAGAAATGGCTCGTAGACACTCCAAACCTTGTGATTTTAACAGCTGTCATGGTAATGAACCCAAATCTGTTATAGGCATACTGACCGATAGGGAGGTTCCAAAATTTCCTACCCAGCCCGGATGGCAGGGTTCATGTGGCTGCACTCAACATCAACCAAAAGATTTATGAATACCCAATGTGTAAGCTAATTCCCATCTACCATTCCGGATGACTACCTTACACCACTTCCTGACATCAAATACAAACATCATGATGGCTGTTGTGAAGAGCAGGGCTGTGGGAAGAAGTAGGAGAAGTCTGGCCTGGTGGGAACCTTCAAATACACTTTAAGCTGCAGATGTGAGTCCTTTCCTCACTTCTGTCTGCAACTGAGAACATTGAGCTTCCTCATGGACAGTTGTTTGGCTGTGTACATGTCAGTCCTTTAGCCTTGGTCAATTATTTGTAGGAATGATATTTGGTACTAGTCTTCCTGTTTAGAACAAAAATTGTTGTTGTATATTCTATTAGTTCCTTCTAGCATTTTTTGTATTTTATTGTCTGTGACTGTGTTCATTTTTGTAATGATAAGGGTCATAGTATTTATTTCTGTTTAGATTCACAAACCAGCCTGCAACCTGTCAACCCTACCACTGACTGCATAGTAAACCAGAACTGAGTTGGATTACTTTGATGGGGAGAACATGCCAATTCCACACAGGGAGGCCTTGGCTGGTCACAAGGTTTGAACCCAGACTTTCTTGCTTTGAGGTGACAGTGTTTACCATTGTCCATGGTACCACTGTGCCACCCCTGGTGGGCTCACGATAAACATTTAAAAGGCAGATTAGTAATGTCAATATAAAGAAGAGATAGATTGTTACATATGTTTTAATTGTATTCCTGATATGAAAAAAAAAGAATGGTTGTCATACTCCTTAAGGGTGTGACAGAGTCATGTGACAGAATGAGCCAATCAGTGAAGATTTAGCTTATACGGGAAAAAAGAGGAAAGGAAAAAAAAAACAGAGCAATTGAATCGGTAGAAATAAGGAGATAATAGTTGGATAGAAAAGGAAGGAAAAGTGATTGAAAACTTTTCTTGTTTGAGTATCCACAAATTTTTGGACATTACTGTATTTTTTTTTTCTCCTGTTCCACCGTGGAGTAGTTTTGTTTTGTATGTTACCTCATTGGAAGTAGTTTATAATTGTGATACAGTGGAATTACAAATTATAAACTGTTATATGGTTAAGGTAAACGAGAAAAAAGTTGTAACTTGGGAAAAAAAAACTACTTGGAAAGGTTTAAACCTGAAACAATTATAGGGACAGAAAAATTGAACGGGCGTTATTCTTAAAGGGAAAAAAAAAGAAATATTGTGAGGTAAACACAGGAAATGTGATTACTGTACAAGTATTTCATGAAAGTTGTTGTTATTGTTAAGATTTTGATCACTAATGGTACCGAATTTTATTTATTGGTGATTTTATATTATCATTTATGTTCATGTATAGTATTCCTAAACATATACATGTTTGCATTATAAAACATGCGATTCAGCAACATTTTAATGCAAACTACACTAGAGTTTAGTCCTCTTTCAAAAATATTTGCTTTTCAAATATTGCAGGATTACTGTATACACTCCCACTACAATGTAAAGGTGTTGTTTTTATTGTGTTTGGTGCCCTTTGTTTAAGAATGGTGTATGACACATCTCTCTTTAATACTTTAACATTTTTTATATTTTCTTGTTTAATTTCAAACAATTCTAAATGGTTATTGTTATTTAATGTCTTCCTCCCTTTACAGCATAAGCATTTATTACTGCTGTCACTATTACTGCTATAATAATGTTTCTTGTATATAAGGTTAAATATAGTATTTTCACATTCTTGCACATTAAGAGTTAAATGGAATAATGGATAAAAAAAATTAAATATCTGCACAGCTGAGTCAAGGTTAAAGTCCAGACATACCAAGATTTATCACTAGGTGACAGTATTGACCTGCTATATAAAGCCATATTTACTGCAGAGCATAAAGCACACACACCCTGGTCTTTATAAGGATAATAAGGATAATCACCTTTATTTTCACTTAGCTACATGCACCTGTAGCTAACTGGCCTACAACTAATGTAGCCTATGACTGAAGGGAAGATACTGTACTTCACTTGGCCAGTTAAGTATTCCTTTCATATATTGAAAGAACTATTGCTGGGTTAATAATAATAATCACCTTTATTTGGCCAAGTATTTTAGACACACAGGGAATTTGTTTCTGGTACAGAACCGAGGCAGCCATCTGTGGTGCCATCTCACATTAAGGGCTCTAACCATCGGGGGCAACTTGGGGGTTCTTGCCCAAGGACACTTCGACATGTGGACTGCAGGTACTGAGATTTGAACCTCTGACCCTATGTACAACAAAACTTGATCAGAATTATTTCTCATTGTTTGAGGTGAATATTAAGAGTCAGAGTAATAAAAAGAAGAAAAAAAAGAGGTCTGTACACAGTGTACCTTCACAATCATATATCATAACAACAGGCACAGGGATATGAGAAGTGGATATTAGTAGCATGAGACAGTTTGCATTGAAAGGGGTATGGGTTGCTTAGCTTTTTCTATTTTCAACCCCTTTTCCTCATATAGTATTCTAATTCTGTAGCATGCAGGGCTCCGCATTACTTTCTTTTTGAGCCCTGCACATCTAGGTGTCATAACACAGCTGATCTAACTGCAGTGCAGTTCATCTAATCTGCAAGATAAAAAGTGAAGAGTGAGGAACCTTTAACAGCGACCTATCACTGTCAGCAGTAGTGCGGTGGTAACAAAGGTAGCCTTTTGTCAATTACACTGCGCATGCGTAGCTTGTTAGCGGTCTGTCAGTGCCATAGCAACCCGAGAAGGCATGAACCATCAACATGGTGAGTCTGTTGTCGGTTAGTTTTTACCTTGCTATTTCGTGTTTTAGCTGATTTTTACGGTCCTGACTGTAACCACATATCCGAACATGTAGTGGCTTCGTGTCTGACAGCCACAGCTGACATTGCAAGCAACACCGGTGTTTGCTATGAGCTAATATTCGCCAGCTTTAATTAGGCAGTTAGCTAGCCGACCCCAAATGTTGCAGCATTACATAGCTGGCTATCATCAGCTGTGAATGTCTAAGTGTCTTTTCTTGTTTTGCCTACTGCTAAATCTTGAATTGCTACAAAGAGGACTAGCTTAATTAGGTAGAATGGCAGTCAAACCCTGAGATGAAAATTAGCTATAATAAAGATTGTGGAGTGCATATTCTATATAGATTAGAAAACAACGAAAACAAAACTGTATTTAGGTTTTTTATTGTTGCTGCTAGCTTGTACACAGTGCAGTACCTATCAGCTATTTTGACATCACAATATAGCCCAGCTTCTCCTAGTTTAATTGAATGTCATGCAATGTCTCCAGGCCAAAGCAATGACTGTGAAAGAAGCACTGGTCAAATGGGTGAGTGGTATACACACACAGCTGGAAAACACAGACAGAATACTATGCAGCACTGTCGCAGTACTGTTTAGTACAATTATTTAACTATTTGTGTTCATACAGGTATGTAGAATACATCGCTGGAAGTTCATTGTGCATGTGCATAACTGTAGCACAGTTTGAATTGCACATTTTGAACTGTGTTTGTGTGTGTATGTGTGTACAGGAGGAGAAATCAGGGGAGAAAGTGAGTGAGGCTAAAGAAATAAAGCTGTATGGCCAAATTCCTCCTATAGAGAAGATGGATGCTTCTCTCTCCACAATCACCAACTGCGAGTGAGTCCTGTAGGAATACAGTTGCTATTGCTTATAAGTTATTATACATAGTTGATATGTTTAGTAGGCTCTACAGCAAGGTAGCTTTAGAAATCCTTTGAAAGTATAAAGCTGTTTTTTTCTTTAATTTCTAAGAATTTTCTAACAAATTCATGGATGACAGTTTTATGTCTCTGCATGCAGTTTGAAGGCATGTTTAAACCATAAGATTACTCCAGTGTAGCTCATTTATTGGATGTCTTTTGGTTGAAGTACAGTAGTGCCCTGTACATGTTTTTCCAGTGAAAAATAAATGGTTCATAAGTGACACGTGGATGTCTGGACAAGAACCTATACATCCTAGTTTGGACCATTTCACCCTGAATAAAGTAAATGGTAGGAATATCCCCAACATGCAGTAAGTATGGTGGTGGACTAGCTGATAGTTTGGCACTGGATTTTGTTTATCTGGTGCAAAATGTTTGAAAAGATTTTGCTCCATTTATATTAATTTAATATTGTGCATGTCTGTCAGCTTTCCTTCTATGAATAATTTTGTCCTACATTTTTTGAAAGTCTAGGAAGCTTTGGAGAACATACGGCATTGTTTCCTCCATCTGAGTTTTGACCCTCAAACTGTATTTCCATGATGTTTTGCTTTCACTTGTGGTTCATCCCCCAGAAATCAATCTATCCTTTTAACAGTCATTATTTTCATCATAGACTGTATATTTTAAGAGCGACAACACTTTGTGTCAGCAAATAACAAAATAAATTGACACACTGAATGAGTGAAACCAATCAAACACCTAAGCAAATATGCCACTAGATTAATTATGTAGATGTTTCTGTGAAACTGCAAATAACAGACGTCTCAGTGCATGAACTGGATTTTTTGTTGCAAGAGCAAGCAGCTGATACAGTGATAGTGTTACTAAAGTTTTAAAGCAAACTAGTACATGATTCTTGAAGTACCTGATATGTCATTGTACTGTATCCTCCACAGAAAGCTGTCTCTGTCCACAAACTGCATTGAAAAAATAACCAATCTCAGTGGCCTGAGTGAGTACTGACTGTGTAAATGCATATAACTGCATACACACAAACTGTTCACAGATGGAAATGTGGTGTTGTGAGTATTTTATGTCTTTTCAGAGAACCTGAGAATACTGTCATTAGGAAGAAACAATATAAAGGCACTCACTGGGCTGGTAAGTTACAGTATGAGACAGAATTAGCTAACTAGTCTGATTATCAAAGTGTTTTCTTATTTACCTTCAATCTAAACCTACTAAATACATACTTTGAATGTATATTATTTTGCATGAATTGTGTCTCTGTGCATGTGTGTGTGTCTGTTTGTGTGTATGCAGGAAGCTGTAGGGGACACATTAGAAGAATTGTGGATCTCCTATAACTTGATAGAAAAACTAAAGGGAATCCAATGCATGAAGAAACTGAAAGTCCTCTACATGTCCAACAACTTAGTCAAAGAATGGGGTAAGCTGCATCCTAACTATACTGGAGTCCAGTTAATCCCAACCAGCAGGCCATTGCCTCAGAGTGCCATCTGATGAACCGCAGAATAGTACTGCAAAGGGTTGGATTAAAGTTATTAAGATGTGAATTGTTAAGATGTAATTTACAAAGCTAGGTATTTGATAAATGTGTTCAGGAATTCACATAAATTAAAAAAACAAAATAAAAAAATAAAATGCATAATTGTCAAAAGAATTTTCAAAGAAGCAACGAAGTCACTGGAATCTTTCAATAAGAGATTAGTTTACTTGCAAGGAGACAAGTCAGCATAGGTATACAGAGTTGTCTGAATGAGCTTAGTCTAAACATCACAATATATAGGAGAAAGGGAACTACCTAAAGACGCATCCTGGGCATTAATCAAGTTGTAAAGAGGATTAAAACAAAATCTAGCCACAGGGGTTGCAAGCCAGTGACTTCTGTGCCAGTCCCAAGCCCGGATAAATAGAGAGGGTTGCGTCAGGAAGGGCATCCGGCATAAAAACATGCCAAATTTAAACATGCGAATCATCAGTTTTGAATTCCATCCCGGATCGTTCGAGGCCCGGGTTAACAACGACCGCCACCAGTGCTGCTGACCTACAGGGTGCTGGCGGAAATTGGACTACTGTTGGTCGAAGAAGGAGAGGAGGTAGAAGGATTCGTAGACAGAGAGAGAAGAGGAAAGGCAGGAGTATAGGTCTGAGAATAGGGACTCAACGTTGGCACAATGACAGGGAAAGGTAGAGAGCTGGCGGACATGATGGACAGAAGGTAGATATACTGTGTGTGCAGGAGACCAGGTGGAAGGGTAGCAAAGCGCGTAGCATTGGAGGGGGATACAAACTGTTTTATTATG